AAGGATCGAGCGATGTGATCAATCGTGTAATGTGTTTCAATTACGCGAGAAAGATCGTTTCGAGGAGATTGAGATTCTTGTTGGAGAAATAATAATATTAGATATTAAATACTCGCTGTTTGATTTGTGCTTGGAATATAACTTTACGTTTAACTTGAAAGTAAACAATTGAAATATTGCAATATTGGATGAATGAATCCAATAACCAATCCCAAGAAAAATATCTTATTATTAAACTTTGATAAATTTCATGTTCAATTCAAAGTTAAAGGATAAAAGAAATTGAACATAATCATTGAAAAAAATACTTTGCTATCGCACCAACATAAATTTCGTAAAATATACAATGTTGTTCTCAAACGTTACTACTTTAAAAAAGAATCCACGTTGAATATCGATCCAATAATTAACCGATCTCCAAGGCAAATTATCTCGAATACTGCAAACATGCATTTCGTTGAACTTGGAATTCAAATACAGTCGTCCATTCGATTAATCGCCAGAGAAATTGTTAACTTTGTTAACCCGAAAAATGATCGCGTCATTGGTGTTTCCAAATAAGCCACAGTGGTTTATACAAAAATAACACGTGAATAAAAAGCGAGTGTGAAGATGTAAAAAGAATTGAAAGTTAAAGAAGGGTAGATGGAGGAGTGGCTCGAACAAAAGTACCGAAATCGTAATGGAAATAAGAGAAACGATGGTATGAAGAAACAGCGACTGTGGAAAAAAAAGGAAAAGTTGAAGGAGTACCACAGTGGTGGTATTCGTGAAATAAGAAACCGTGATGCATATCGATGAAAGAAAGAAAGAAAGAAAGAAGAAAAGAAAACTTTAACAGAAATTTAAAAATTGGATATGGATTTTTGAAAGATTGAAAAATACTCGTAATTAAAATTTACAAGTTTTTGGGACAAAATCGACAAATAATCGGTAATGATTATTACAGAAGATTTAAAAATAAATATTCTTGGAAACTTTTTATTTTTAAACAGATATTCGAAGAAAATTCTTACTTCCAATAGATTCCCTCTCTTGGAAAATTTCTATCTCTACAAACAAATACTCTATAACACTTATTTTTCTCCATTCACCAACAATCGCTACTCCTTCTCTGTTTTCCAAAATAGAACGAAAGTGGAGCACATACTCCTCCTTTTTCTAAAATTCAAACTTTCTCTCCATTTCATCTGTGTCTAGGGTGAACGCAAGAAGCACGTGATCGATCTTCCACTTCGACGCGGCATCCAGCAAGATTACTTTGCTGGATACATGAAACGAGATGGCCGCATTCACGGGCGCAACACTCGATTTCTTCGAAACAACGGCCACGTTGGTTAGGGGATGGAATGGAATCGATTCAGATTCGTGAGTACATATTGAACTTGATCCCCTTGGAAACCGAATATTTCGTGGAAAAGACTCTCGACGAGTGACGTTGAGACGTTCGCGTACCAAGTTTTTCGCTCGAAATTTTCAGACTTCTCCTTTCAATCAGTCGGAAACACCGAACAATAGTTTGAAAGAAAAAAAAAAAAGAAAAGGAAAAATTTTCTTACTAAAAACATTTTTCACAAAGAATTTCCTTCTTTCCATTTAATGACATTCGTTTCGAAATAATTTGCGCGTACGATATTAAGTTATTCGACGTATGCAATATCAGACCATCCACGCGAATAATTACATACATAATTAAAATATTGTTCTTCGAATAATCATTACGCCCGTAATTATACACGTCATTAAATATTATTCTATATTTTTCTCCCTTCAAAAGAGAACTCTTAACGAATAATTCAATAGAATTCAAATTTTTTATTCAATTCTTTTTCAATTCTAATCCTCTAATATTTAAACAAAATTTAAACAAATTCATATATTCCCTCTACGTCGTTTCACACGATACCAATTTTCAATCCTGAAAAAACCGCCCACGATATTTCTCGCAAATATATTTCACGCACGATATTTTCGAATTTCACCCTTTCGTTCGCCAGATCCCATCTTAATCGAATCTTCTTGAACTCGTCATCAATAATAATAATAATAATAATAAAAATAAAACAAAAAAGAAACGAAAGGTATTAAAAAACAAGCGAGTGTTTCGAGAGTCGGTCGGTTGATAGGGGAAATTGAAAAGCGAAACTATCATGGCGTCTCGCGATCCTCATTCAGCCAGTTGGCGGACACCATTGTCTCGCGGGCTTGGTGCACGCATATACACGACATATAGACGCGCGGAAACAGGAGCGGCACAACAGGAGAAACACAGCGTATTCCAACGATTCTGATAACGATACACGGGTGACGAGCGAGCGGAAAGAGAATCGTTGCGGAGGAACAAGGATGGCGGGACAAAAGGCGTCAGGCCTAAGGCATTTCTAATTATATTGCTCGACGTGTTAATTGATATTCACACCGGTGCTGAACATCAAAGTTTCCACAGGAGAAGAAAAGAATGAAGATTCGAATTTTTAATTGCAATATAAATCTCTGTCAGGGATTGCCACTGGAATCGGTGATATTCCGTTCTTCCACAATCATAATTTTGGCAAATTTGTCTTTGACTTATTGCTTTGAATTATTGCTAAATAGGCGATTAATTTATCACTAACTCGCTATTGAACGTTAATTGTGTATCCCAAAGACAACTTCTAGGATTCTGTAAATACATGTGAACAAGTTTCGAACAGCCTCAACTTTAATTATCGAGTAAATTTATTAAAGTGGAAATCTGAGAAAGCGTTAGAAGCGAAAAATTATTATCACGATGATTAACGTTAATACATTTTTATTACACTCGGCTATAAGAAATTAGATCAATCTGTGACTGTGTACTTCGACCTAACTTTTACACGATACACTTGTCTCAGCCAATTACTCTTTTATTATAATTAACCAAAGTCAACTTCCCATACAATTAACTCTAAATTAACACGCTCAATCGAATTCATCTCGCGAATCGTCGAATACATCCTCATCTTAATTAACTGAAATCGCGAGCTGGCGATAAACGCAGACAATAATTCCAAACCGAGCCAAACAAGATAAACTCCTCTCGTTTCGACAAAAGAAGGGAGTGAAAAATAATCTATTTTCCATCGCGATTATCGAATATAAAACACGTTCTACAATTTACAATTCGCGTAGAGGAGAGAAAAAAGGGAGGGGAGGAGGAATTTCAATTCGACCGCACACACGAGAGGACGTGAACTACATCTTATACGTCTCAATTTCCGCCAACACAAACATTACGCTACGAGCTAAACACAATTCACTGTCAAAGAGTGAGGGCCGGGCCAAGGTAGGGAGAGGTTGGAGAAACACTCGACGATTTTCTTCGAGTCGATATCGCCTCTTTCACGTTTCTTCACGAGGGGGCGAAAAGAACGGCGCCAACGGTCAATATTTTTTCAACACACAAACCTCTCGCGACACAAACCTGGCGAAAAATCCTGACGATTACACGGCCACGCCCCGTCCATGGACAAAATCCATTCTCTTTTTCTCTCTTATATATACAGGGTGGTCCGCGTGAAATTCGTAAATCGAGGGGAAGGGGGAGGAGGAGGCTTTGTTTCTTGGTTGAATGGAAGAATTCGAAAGTGTTTTTTGCAGGAATAAAAAACCGTGGCCTCGTTTGTTGTGTTTCCTCGTAATTGGATATGATTTGGTGAGAAATTGTTCCGAGTAGAAAAAAAAGGATAGAGCAAGGATTATAATTCTCATCGATTCGGATTAATTTGTAGTTCAAGAAATCTCTCGTTCTTGCAATCAGGATCAGTTTATCTGATTAATTGTATATTGATACGTTCGATTTTTTGACCAGGTTCGACAGGAAACGTTTCATAACAATTTGCATAATTTCAAAGGACGACGAAGAAAATTGCGTCGTAGGAAATTCCTATGTAACGATATTTATTTCAAGCGAAAATAAATTAGATAGCGAATATCGATCGATAATTACGTTACGTAAAATCTCATTTTAATAATGAAAAAGATTGAAAGACACGCGAAGCACGCCTGTTTTCCACTGGTTTTAATTATTAACCATACACCACCAAATCGTAATACTTCTATCCGATTACGCGTTGAATATTCAATACCGATCGCGACACAGTTCCAATATGATTCGAGTCCAATCTAGATAGAATTATTCAAATACACGTGTACATCCATGATCAATTTTCAACTTTGATTTTTCTACCTCAGTTTTATTTTCTTCCTATCTTGGAGCCATATCCTTCTGGCCCCATTTGTACCATGAATTATGGACAACTCGATATATATATATATATATATACATCTATCTATCTATCTATCTATCTATCTCCCTTTTCCACTCGGAAATCTCGTAATCCATCCCAAGAATTTCTTATATTTTCCATTTCTAACGCAATTCCACGGAACACACGGTGAACGAGTGGATGTAAAGTGAAACACGAGAAATCCTCTTATGCAAGAGGTAGGATATGATTCACAACTCAAACATTACAGGTACAATTTTAACCTTCCCCTCGTTCTGCTGTGCATTAAGATGGTCTGTCTTTCTTTCGAGGACACGATTTCATGATTTTGAATAGAAAGTGTAATAGTACCAACATCTTTTTTATCTTCGTTCCAATTAATTTTTGACAATCGTGTTCCTTGTGTTTCGTTAACTTATCCTCGGGCGATCGAGAGATTTTTATTACTCTCCTATACACTGATTTTATTTTATTTTATTTAATAAAAATGACAAGCTTTGATTTTCGATCGTTTCGATAATGCAAATCATTGCTAATATTCAAATTTTAATATATTCGTTTGTAATATGATAATATCCGATTGAATGGAATTCAATTAACCGATATTCGACGATAAATTAATGAATCCCTTGATAAATTCAAAATCCAATTTTAGTTCTCGATTATAAATAAATATAATACTCGTGCTCCAAGGAAAATTAAAAGGAATAATAATAAAAAGGAAAAAGAATCTAAACATTCCCAAAATCAATATCGAAACGATAATAAACGAATCGTTCGATCGAGTTCAATTTTCAACACTTTTAATTACATCGAACGATCCCAGAGAATAATCAATTTCATTGGTACAAAGCCTTTCTTTTTTATCCGAGAGATATCAACTTCCCATGATGATTCGACTGATGAGACGAAGAGGCAGAATGAAATTTAATAAATAAAGAATAAACTACGTTGTACAAACGTGCAACTTTGTTCTACTATGCTACGTCACGTCGCACGATGGAACAAAACAGAGTCCACCCACGCCCAATTCACGCGAATGAATATACGAGATACACGAGCACGGAATTCCACCTTTTTCACTTGTATATGAACTCGACACAAAAATGTTCAATAACAAGCAGTACACTTCCCTTCCCCGTATCGATACGACTTTCGACTCTCTCCAGATATCGAAAGCGAAGATATCCGTCCTCCATCTTCCTCTACCCTCTTCCTCGACCCACCTCAACGCTCGCCACGTGCGCGGTGGTCAGCGACAGACGCTGAGTCATTGTTTCTCACCCTCAGACCACGATTCGCGGAAAAAATGTAGGCCACGACGACGGTTTCCTCGAATTCTCTTCGACTGGTTTATAATTCGAAGGGTTGTATCTTGGAGACCGATCGATATGAAACAAAGTATACATTCTTCCGTTGCTTTGAATATTTATTGGGCTTTGGATAGAATATTTTTGGAATTGGTGCAATACGACTTGAAAGATCTCGATTTTAACAATATTCAGAAGAATGTGAAATTTGGAAGCGGTGGATAATTTTTTGGTTGAAATAAGATTTCGAACGAAGAAGAATCAGGTTGGAACGAAAAGAAAAGGATTTTCGGCCGATCAATTTTTCAATCAACAGTGGCTTTTTCATTGTTCCGCGGGAAAAGAGAATTTCTTTCTCCTCTTCCTCCTCCTCCTCCTCCTCCTCGGACGATCGACTAAAATATTCCGCCAAAGTATACCACACGAGAATGAGATATCACGATAAACAATTCACCTTTTCATCCAGCGCGAAAGGAAATATTTTCGAATCTTTTATCAGCTCGAAATTCCCATCCCCTGTACAAAGTTTCCTTTCTCGATATAAGGCTCCTTGTTATCCTAGGCTTAGATTCTCATTAAACTCTAATTTACACGAAGCTTTTCCTCTACCGACCCATTCTTCCCTCTTATCGTCCCTCCTCCCCTTCCTTCCGATCTATCGTTTACTTCAAAAAATGTTCTCCCCGTGCAAAGTCCACTCCACGCATAAAATTTGTTCCTTTGAAAAATTCCCTTCGTTTTTCCTACCATTTATTTCGTTTGCCTAAAATTTCCTTCTGGCTGAGATCCCCTCCCCCCTACGACTCCGCTTCCCTTGAAACTCCTTTGAGGAGTAAAGTTGAAAAATCGTAGTCATTCCTCCGTGTCCTTTGACCATCTTCCATTTTATACGAATATTTCGAAACAGAGGTACCTCGATCGAGAATTACAGTGTGAATAATACACGCGCAGAGAAATTTATATTTATTAATCGAT